GGTCTTTCTCTCCTTAATGATTCCTCTGACATCTCCTTAAAACAAATACAATGCAAAATCTTGTTTGCAGGATTCTCATCCACAAAGAAGATAATTACAAAGCACTAGTTCAGTCCTGACATTTGAAATCATTCTTGATTGGATGTTTTCTTTGTATCGTTAACCTTGAACTTACCACTGCAGGATTAAATAAAGCTCGACCCACAACTGTGGAAGCTTGGAAAACCTTCTCATCCAAAGTTATCAGCTGGAAGAGGCAATAACTGGTTGTAATTTGTGTGCGTTCTAATATTTGTATTTCCACCGTATTTTTTTCTTTCCTCTCTCCATGCCTTGTGACCAGTGTTGTTTTAGGGAACCAACCCTGCTGTAAATCAATAAAACTTTGAATTTATTGATTTAGTGATGAGTCGTGTTTGCTGTGGTGATAAGTTACTGAATTAAAACTGATTTAAAAATGTCCAAACACTACAACATGTATTAACTGTAGTTCTGATGTGAAGAGACGCCACATCATGTAAATCTAAAGAGCTTCTTTTTCTCTGGATAAATAAACCTGACGTTAAAATAAGTTTGTGGTTGATAAACACTGTAAAGCACAGACTGCATCAAAGCGCCCTTTATTCCATCCATGCATCACATCGTTGATCACACAAATGAAACATCACATTATTTTGGGGCATCTCGCTCAAGGACGCTTTGCTAACCTGAGGAGCTGCATCTCCTCCTCTCTTCCTCCACAAAAACCTTCACAGACCTGTTTCCAGTCTGACTCCATGTGCCTGCAGTTTTTCCAAGAAGGTTTAATAAAAATGTGCAGAGTTATATCTGAGTTAAATATAGTTAAATATCTGAGTTAAAGCTGCTTTAACTTGTCTTATTAGCTGACTTTTTAAAGACTTTATCAAAGAAAGTATGTGTGCTTCCCCTGCTGTGAGATTGAGCCTGGTGCTATGTAAAGCTTCTATATGCTGCACTTTGTTGTGGTTAAAGTACTCGACCATTTTAAATTCATCACTGTGGACCAACCCACAATAAACAAGAAGGAAGAGAGCCGACTCTGTGTACCTCTGTTTAGGTTTGATTTTCACTCCCATGCTGGCCTGTAGTGGAGCTGAAATGATCTTCAGAACTACAAACCACAAAGCCTCGTGGCTGCTGCATCGGCCCAAACCTCTGCTCTCAGAGTCACAGACACGGTTTCTTCACCTGTAAAAGGGCCGTGATGGAGAGGACGAGGTCTAAAGAGGTCACAGCTCCAGTAACGCTCTCCTATTTAAAATACCTGAAATGCATCAGCTGTCAGTTTTCACTTTCACATGAACACGAGTGACAAATAATTAGTCGTGCAAAACGAAAAAACTGGTAAAGCTGCATTCTTCACTCACTTTCATAGAAGTCTACGAAAGAAGGCTGCATCGTGAATGTCTGTGGTTCCTGTACAACCACAGACGTGTGAGGCTGTTAATCCTGTCAGTGCTGGAAAGTCTGGTTTTCTGGATGACGGCCAGTTTGTTGTGAAATCTGATTTCCTGACAGGATGTCTGTTGTTCAACTGGAGTTAAAAATCTTTGTTCTTTTTAATAACTTTATACTCTGGGTTGTAACATCGTTCCTCTATTTGACTTTTAGATGAAACTGAATCAAATATTTAAAGGCCTGCAGTTCATTCAGTTTCCAGTAAAAAGGTGAAGTTTGAGGACTTTGTGGTGAAATCACAACTTCTGTGAGACACAAACAGATACTGAGAACAAATAAATAATAAATCTGTTTTAAATGGGTGTGTGGGATTCTTCTGCTGATCTGTTGAATGTTCTCTGAGGGGGGTCTCATCCTCTGGCTCACTTTCAGGATGCACCAATGGTGACTTTATTTCATGTAGTTTTATTCAGACTCAGTGTGGCAGGAAATTCCATCCATCTTCTTCTGCTTATCCACAGTCAGGTTGTGGGCACAACAGCCTAAGCAGAGGAGCCCTCGGCCACCTCCTCCTCCAGCTTTGTTCTTTATCTTTTGTATTTTTCGCTTCTACTTCTCAGCTGTTGCTGTTTACATGAGAGTGTTTCCTGAGCTTTCCCCCTGTATTTAATTGTTTTTAGCTAGTTAGTTGTTCCTGTGTCTGGTTTCTACCTTTATTTCCTCACCTGTGGGTTGGCCTGTGTTCACCTACACCTTGTTTCCCCTGAGCTGTGTTCATGTCCACTGCTGGTCCTGTGTTTCCTTTGTCTTTGCTTCTGTCTGCGTTCAGCCTCAATAAAAGTTTGTGTTTTGTTCCCTACCCTGTGCTCATTTAGCTCGAACCTGCCCACTCATGACAGTCTTTGTGTTGTCAGCGGATCATTTTGAGCTCCTGATGATTTGATAATTGAAGGCGGATTCTTCCATCGTAGATCTGATAATTGATTCTGTTTTATGGTCCCAAACACTATTCAAGCTTATTTTTTTTAACTGTAAATGATGTCATGATGTCCACAGACTGAACCTTAAGGGTCCACACTCTGAGAATAATCAACATAAAGGATTTATCCTCTGCTGACTAACAGCACTCACTATAAGCACACCCTGCTCTCTGCAGTCATTATCAAAGCACAAATCAAAGCAGTTCCTCCCACATGCAGATAATTGTATCCCTTAATCTTGTTTACACTCAGTACACTTTCTCTGGAATACGTTTGACTTACAGCTATGTGATTGTGATAACCAACCAATCCAAACACAGATTTGAAGCTTAGAGAACCGGTTCCTCCACGCTCCCCTCACTAGCTTTGATTGGCTGTAGAGATGAACTTCAACACACTGAAAGCCAGATGTTATTCTTCAATCACTGGTCTTAGTTTCAAGTTTTATTTGACACAACATGTTTATTTTGTAAATGATGGTCCTGTTAAAACCAGGGCAGGGTTCATGCGTGACTGACAGGTTGCTACATGTTAGCGTCTCTCACTGCTCATAACTACAGTAAACAGCCCTTCAGTTCACTTATTCTATCATGTCATATTTATTCAAATATGTATAAAAGAGCAAATACAGATCCACACTGTCAGAGGTTTACTTGCAACAAATAGAAATATATACGTTCAAATTTCAATGCACAGAGATGTGGTGACTGTGGAGGCCTTTGGGGTGTTTTTCAGTCTTCGTTGTCTAATTTTGGTGAGCAGATGTAAATGTGGCCTCTGTTGTTAGCAGACAGCTGTTGCCCTCAGTGTGGTCTTCTGTTGCTGTGGCCCATCAGCTTCAACATCAGATGTGTTGTGCCTTCAGAGATGCTCTTCTGCGTGGTTCATTAAGAAGTGTGGTCGACTGAGTTGCTGTTGTCTTTCTATCAGCTCAAAGTAATCTGGTTATTCTTCTCTGACATCAACAAAGTATTTCCACCCTGCTGCTCACTGGATAGCTTCTCATTTCAGACCATTCCTTGTAAATCCTGAAGATCTCAGCACATCAACAGTGTCTGAAATACTCACACCAGCCCGTCTGACATCAACAACCACACCACATCTTTCTTCCTTATTCTGATGCTCGTTTGGACTCCAGCAGGCTGTGGTGATCATGTCTACATGTCTGAATGTTTTGAGTTGCTGCTGAGGTGAAAGGTCACTTGATGACCAGTGGAACAGTTGATTGCTGAATGCATGTAAGTGTGACTTTACTGGACTGTACAGTTGTTGTTGATGTTCTCAGATCATTTTCTTTGTCTGTTTTCTGATGCATATGGTTTCATGAGCATCATTCTGCTTTCCTCCATGTTATAAAAAATCCTTCACATCTCATTTTTGTGTCTGAAAGGTTTTTACTCTACATGAGGCCGACATGTGTGCAGAACTCTTTCCAGAGGCAGTGAGGTTTCATGAAACAAAAACTAAACACATTGGTGACTCACTCTTTAAAGTCTGATGAAAGGTTTTTATTCATTCATCACACAGTTGGAGTGACTGACTGGTTTTGATTGGTGGAGAGTCTTTTGCGCAGGTGAGACTGTGTTATGAAAAATGCCCTGATGTTTGTGAGAACTGCATGAAGAGTGGAGAATTTCCTGCTGTGAGAATTGAGCCAAAGTGACTGAGAAAATTTTTAAAATATTGATTAGGTGTAGTGCTACCTGTTTGGCTCTTGTTATTGATGACTCGTGGTGTGACGTTATGTGTGGCTGGCAGCCTGACAGCGTGGGAAAGTGGAGTGGTGTGAAGCTTAGATTTAGCCAGCAGCTGGGAGCAGACAGATGTGAGACCATAGATCTTCCTTATTGAACTTACTCATAAGCTTCATAATTATTTTTTTTCTTACAAAAACTTGAATTAAGACCTGATTAATCAAGTGTATCACTAAGTATTTGTAGGTAATCACATTGTGGTGGACCACCAGGTGGCTCCACTCACACACAGTGTTAGGGGAAGTGAGAGGGTTAGGTTTTGGTCCTTTGAATGTTTAATGTGATGACAATAAACAGGTGTACCTAATGAAATAGTTGCTGATTGTGCTGAATGCACCTTGAATGTGTGAAGCTGAATTAAAAGTTGGAGTAGAATATTGGGATCTCTCTTACTGTCTTTACATACCTCCACAACATCATACTTTCAAAATCCTTGGAAATTATATAAAATTATCTTAAATGATTTACATTTTTATTTTGAAGTAGTCAGAGGTAAGTCCTACTAATTGCTAACCTTGCCATCGTTTTTTCTTTGTTTTATGCAGATTTCATACAGATGTAGGGGGGGAAACAACCAACAAAGGTAATATAGTAACGCTTAACTATTTATTTTATTTTATTTTATTTTATTTTAGTAATCTTCAAGAGTCAAAAACTGCAGCTGGCTTTGACCATAAAGGCTGCAGTGGGAGATGGTCCTCTCCTCTCTTACATCAGCCTGTATCTGTTTCTATAAACAGACTCTGCTCATTAATCTTCCTCCTGTCACTGTTTCTGTATAACTGTCACTGATATTATAAAGGTGAAATCTAAAAGTCCATGACGTTGTGACGTAATACACCGGAAACTATGGCAGATATGGCGGACTGCTTTAAGACACTAGAAACTGAAACTGTTTTTGTACTGCGTCAGTGCTGAGAGGAGAGGGGTGGCTCGGATCTTGGTTACACAGAATAGTTGCCGTATTTGATCCTCGGAGGGTTTCTGCAGACATGGAGCTTCTAGCACTTCTGTTTCTGAGCTTCTGTTTCCTGACTTTGTCCGGACGGACGTTTGCTGCTGAATCCGGTAAGAAACTCATTGATTTAGAGTGATAATCAGTGCAGGCGCAGTCACGTTTCACAGCAGCGGATGGAGCTTTAACGCTGCTGCTGTAGCGGGTGGATGACTGCGGCATCTACACCTGTGACATCAGCGTTTAACGCATCCGGATTTTGATGTTGAAATAATGAGCAGATAAATGTGAAAATGTTCTTTTTATTTTTTACGATCAGATTATCTCATTATTTCACCCTGACTTTTTTTCAGGTGTGGCGTATTTGTTAGCAGTTTGTGTTTCCTGCAAACACACGTGTTTTATTTTTTCTTTACAAACTGAAACAATTGAGATTCAGATACATCAACAATGATATAAAATTATTATTATTATCCTTAATTAGTAAAAGGAGGACAGAAGTCATCCATAAACACATAAGTAGGCAAGTATATAAAGTTCATTTTTCCTTGTATGTGTTACTACAGCTCCACCTGCTGCCAGTTTTAAAGGGAGTGGCACAGCCAGGCCCCAAAAGGATGGAGAGTGGCTCTACCCTGTTTCCATTTCCTGAGGTTTTAGAGTTAAAACACTGTGTGGCCCATTAACATGAGGCTGTTACTGACTCTGATGTGCAGCTTCAAACTGGCAGATTTTTGAGAGCTCAGCTGGTGAAAAGGACGCAGACTGGATGTGTTTCAAATCTTTATCAGTGAAAAATGTTTGGCCTCACAGTGTTGACACTGTTGCTGCCTGAATTTGTGTTAACCTCTGATGAGCCACCTGGTCCTGGTGAGCTGGTTGGGGGCAGAGTTATAATCACTTCTACCTCTTTATATGAATTTTTTTATGTACTTGCCACACTTAAATAGAAATATCATACGAGAAGAACTGCAAGACCAAAATGCTCATGAGACACTTGAACTGAGAGGCAACATCTACTTTCTGAAACCCTGCTTGTTTAGCATGTAGTTAAAAGCTAGTCTACACCTAACACTACCACATGTGGTTCACTGGTGACCTGCTGGATATTAAGAGGTTGATAAATTCCTCCTTAATCATGTGAAGATCTTTGCCCCAAACCAGAAATTATTTCACAATCTTTCCACACAGCTTTGTAGTAACTTGCAGTATTTGATGGGGCCTTAAACTTTAAAATGAAATCCTTCTGAGGAGGCTGAAAACAGCACAAATGCTGCAGTCAAATGCTAACAGCTGGTACAACATGACAACAGTATGATAACAGAGTAAATGCCTGTAGGTCGGCTGAGGAGTGTGTGGCCAAAAACAGAAAGACAAAAATCAGAACAAAGAAAACCAAGCAGCAGCTCACAGACATGTCAGGGCTGCTGTCAGCTGTAATACTGTTATAGAAAACTGTTACAGTTATAAAGCTGAGGATTCAGAATATTTCTAAGATTAGAAAAGTAATCATGAATAAGCCGATATTTCTATTTACAGAAAAAAATTTATACAGTGTCATCACATATATGTTACTCAGGTGGAGCTGTGTGTTGGTAGGATGGAGGAGCATTTCATGTGGATGCAGTCATATTAGCAGAAATAAATATTCTTATTTATTCTCTTTAATGGACCTCACCCTCTGACTTCTGTAAACAGAAATGTAATACATGCAGTAAAGATGAGCTATCATACTCATTTCCAGCTCCATGTTTTATTCTTGGACACTACTGGAACAGTTTATCCCAGTCTGGGCCTTGGTGCAGCCTCTGAGTTAGTCCTCTCTGTAATGAGCTCTTCAGCTCCTTCAGCTTCTATTTAAATCAGTCATACAAACTGTGGCGCTACAGGTGGGACTGTGATGACAACAGGAAAATATGAAGGGTAACTAAATAAATATGAATTCTTGTTGTAGGAAAAAATAAAGAAGTGTTTTAATTGTGAATGCATTGTGATGTTTATATGTTTTTAATCTTCGTGAAAGCTACAAATCGATTCTGAACTGTTTTTTAGTTTCTGAAATAAAAACGTGGAGCTTTAAGCCAATTTTCTTCTGATTGGCTGCCCCTGCCTCATACCTGACTTTCTTCTATCCTTATCCCTGTTTAAAACATGCTTTGTCTTTCAGAGACACCTGTGGCCAGAGTGACTGTGAAAGAAGATGCTGATGCTATTTTACCCTGTTCCCTCGGCACCAGTGAGACCATTGAGTCAATGCTGTTTGACTGGGTTAAGGAAGTCCCTCGAAAGGAGGTGTTCATGTATCGTAATCGCAATCATTACAATAATGGTCTGCCAGGTCAAGATGTGGAGTTCAAAGGTCGAGTCTCACATTTTCCAGAAGAGCTGAAGCACGGCAACGCCTCCATAAGAATAACAGACACTAGGCTAGAGGACAAAGGCAACTATACCTGTATATTCCCAGAAATAAAGCCCAGTGAAAAAATCTTCCGCATTGAGCTTGTTGTTGGTGAGTGCTGTTATAAATCAGCTGATTATTTACAGATGAAACAGTCAGCATGCACATCTGGCAGGCTCTCACCCATACAGCACATCTGCAGTGAAATTTGCAATATTTGGTGAAAAAGACTGAGACCTTCCCATGTGCATGCTTCTCCTGCACCTGCGCCATATCAAAAATCTGAGGTGCCCTAAAAAAAATCTCTGTGAATGCAGCTTATAATACCACTATAACCTGTTTCTTTTTTCAAGGTATTACTTGTTAACTCTCACATCTGTCACTTTGCATGTTGAACTACAATAACTAACCTTAAATACTGAACTGCTGTTTCACATGTAAACGTGATATTTCATGTAGTCTGTTAGTTTTACCTTTAGCTCTGACACAGATCATTTGTTGGGGATTATACAGGAATCACTGAAGCCTTGATGTTTTTAACCTTTTACTTAATATTTTAACTAGAATTAATCAGTCATTATAAGGGCTAGGAGGCTGAAATTTACAGGATATCATCTTCTTTTAATCTACAATAAATGTGCCAAGTGTCATGCTGATATTCTGAATTAACTTAAAGATATTAAAGATATTAATTCAAATTGCAAAGCAGAGAATCTATGACAAGTTATTTCTAAACGCCACAATAATCTCTCCAAAGTTAACAAATAATAATGATTCATTCAGTTTTTTACATTTCACGTGTTCCTAGATGCTAAACGCAACTTCAAAACGATGTCCTAAATAATTAAAACAAAGATTCACACATTTATTATACTTTAATCGGGTCTTTTTTGACAAATTAAATACTTTTCTTTGATTTGTTTTCGTTCCATCGTAACAGCGAATCCAACTACTTTATCTTCCATATATGGTCAGACAGGTGATTTTCCCGGCTTCAAAGGGAGAGTGGTTTCATTGCCTTAACTTTCTATTGGACAACAGCAGCTGTCAATCAAACACCCACGTAGCTCTCGTAATGATGCTCATTTCTGATTGGCTGACTGAATTAATAGTGTCGCGAGGTCGTTATATTATGTCCGCAATCGATGCTGATTGGTTAATTTTGCTCGTGGGTGTTTCCTGATATCAGAGACGTTACAATGATTGTACAAATTAGTCGTCGAAGCTTTTAATTTGCTTTTAATCTTCTTATTTTAAAAGTTTCTGTAACTCCGATAAAACTTTACAAGAGAATAAATTCTCTTTTTTCTGGATGTCTTTACTCCCGGTTGTTTAAACGAGCGGAAGTTAATCTGTGAGTTTTGTTCGTTAAAAAGAGCTCATATTTGTCTTTAAATGTCTATTTTTGGTCCGATTAACGACTTTCTAATGGTGATGCAACATCTAACCTTACGTATTACTTTTACTGCTATACTTGTGAATTAGACATCGTATCTACTGTATATGACTTTTTTTTTGTTTTTTTCTTTTTTTTTCATTTAGGTCCTCTGTTTATTAAAGATCCGAAACTTTCCAGGTGAGTCCTGTTTGTGCCGATACTGATGATAACATGCTCGTTTGTTTTTATGTGAACGTGTAAGTAGTAGGAAAAGACAAACAGGTACTTGTTTTGGTGAGAACTATAACAGGTCTAAAGCTTATCTTTATTAACAGTCCACGGTTAAAGCAAAATGTTTATGATATTGTTTTTATCCGCACATAAAAAAATTTATGCTACAATGTTGGTGTGCTAGACATATGGGGATTATAATTTTTTAATTGTTTTTAATTGTCTCTAATTGTCTTTTAAGACACTTGTTCTAGTTTTATTTTGCTGTTGTTGCTGTTGTCGTTTTTCATTTGCCTTTAGAAGCCAAATGAAAGGTTTAAAAGGTTTGTGTAACAACAGCAAAGATCCTTCTGTCCTTAGCAGGTTTTAAAATTAGGTAAATACAACCTGAGATGAATAACAATCTAAGCAACATATTCAACTGTCCATTTTTTTTTTTTTTTTTTTTTTACTTGAGCCAAAATGCAGCAGCAGCATGTGGAAAAACTAAGCATACAGCATGATTCAGCAGCTTGTAGAACCACCTTCAGCAGAAATAACTTGAAGTAATCATTTTTTTGTCTGACTTTATCAGGCTGTCACATCATTGGATGAATTTTAGCCCACTTTTCTTTACAGAATTGCTTCATTTCATTGAGGTTTGTGGGCATTTATTTATGCACAGCACTCTTAAGGTCCACATTAACCAGCACTTAGATTCTTTGTTTCCAGCCATTATGTTATAAATTTGCTGCTTTGTTTGGGATGCTTGCATTATAATTACAGCTTTTTTGTATGATTGTCCCAGTTAAGTATTTCAGATCAAACAAATGAAGATATTAGACAAAGATAACATAAGTAAACACAAAGTCCAGTTTCTAAATCAAGGTGCTCATTATAAAGGGAAATCTTTTCCTCCTTGGCATTGTGTTGTTAACACACATCTGAGTGCTCCAGAGAAGACCCAACAAAATCTGTGCTTTAATTGAGTTGTGCAGACTCAGTCACGGGGTGAGCTTGGTTCTGCTAGAGGTTTCTCTCTGTTAAATGGGAGTTTTTCTTTCCCACTGTGGTCAAGTGCTTGCTCATAGAGGGTTGTCTAATTATTAGGGGTTTCTCTGCATTATTGTAGCATCTCTAGCTTAGCGCCTTAGGTGACTGTTTGTGTAATTTTGTGCTATGTAAATAAAATGTAACTGAAATGAATTCCTCTGGAAACAGTAAGGGTATACTTAATATTTTTTTCTGATTTGGTTTAGTTTTGTTAAATAATAATACATGCCGTAACATGTCATGTATTATTGTTAATATGAGGTTGTATTAAATAATTGATTGTGGCTATGTAAACTAGTTGTTTGTTGTCTATGATGTGTTCACAGGTGCAGCTCCAGAGCCTTATGTCACAATACTTAAAGAAAAGGGGCTGCTGCAGTGTAAGGTTCCAGGTGCTTCTCCTAAACCCACAGTTGAGTGGAGGGACAGTGACAACAAAACACTTCCTACTAAGACTGTGCAGGATGAAGAACAACAAGGTCGCTTCCACGTCATGGTCCAGACTACTGTAACTGAGCCTGGCTTTTATCGCTGTGTAGCCACACAGATGGAAAAGTGGCATCGGATTTCTTCAGAGATCTGTGTGCATGATGGTGAGTGGGATATAATTCTTCAAAGAAGTTTGAAGATCAAAGTATGAATATGTGCTTAGATTGAACACTAAGAATGTGGTCTGGGAGGAAAGGCTGAAAGCTAAATTATGAAAACATGAACATAAAAAAAAGATTTGGCTTCAGTAGAGACGATGTGCATGCTGGAAAAAAAGCTGTCAGCTCCTAACCTAATGTTAAAAAACTAAACTCACAAAAATATACTGTATATTATAAAATATGAACATTGCTGTTGTGACTGATTTGTTTATGAACTCTCACATGATGCCCCAAGCTCACATCAATATCTTGATGTCTTTTTAAACCTGAGCATGCTCACAGGCTCTTGAAATAACACTCCTCATGGTAAATCTCACTCTGCTTTATTTTTAATTTTCAAACGTTAATGGCATCATATTCACATTCTGGGTGGTGCTCTCACTTGGTGTTGGCTCTCTCTAGAGTATCATTTTTTGTTGCTGTTACGACACAGTGGTGTTTTTGTGTAGCTTATCTGTGTAGCCAGTTTAATTAAAAACTTATATCTAACGTCTTATTTCATAGTATAATTTTCACATGCCCTAACTTGAAGCACTCTGTTGATTCACTCGCTAAATAGTCACAGTATTCACTGACTATGTCTTTAGGGATTTGCTAGCTTGACTCGTAGCTGACTCAGTAGCAGCATGGATTCTTCACCTGTACCTCCTGCACTTTCCTGCTCAGTGTGTGAGACGTCTAGTTACTCCTCAGCCTCCTTTAGTAAAATTGATACTTTTAATAAATGTAGCCTATTTGCAGCTCTGGAGGATTAATGAATTGGAGACTCGATGTCGCAGCTTTGAACAACCCGTAGCTAGCCAGGCCCCTGTAGTCGGTGCAGCTGAAGGTGGCATAGGCCCCAGCATATTGTCCTGAGCAGTAGTGATGGGATTTCCGGCTCTTTTTAGAGAACCGGCTCTTTCGGCTCCGAACCGGCTCTTCAGGTTGTTTTGTTGCTTTAATTAATTTATTATTAACAATAATATAAAATTATGCACAAAAGGAATTACTAATGTAAAAAAAAAGTGGTTTTATTTATATATGTTTATATATAAATATATGCGGTGGCCCCTAGAGACAAAACACGTACAAACTCCAAAACACATTTCTAGCATAACTGAACTTCCAAAGCAGAGCTACTAGATCACTTAAATTACACAATTGAAAGCATGAAAGCATATGTGTATTGTTTGTGTATTTATACACAAGCGCATATATATATATATGTATGTATGTATGTGTGTATGTATATATATATATATATATATATATATATATATATATATATATATATATATGTATATGTGTATATGTGTGTGTATATATGTGAACATGTAAAATTAGGTCGCATACAACCTCTGCGTTTCAAAAGGTTAAAGATCCGAAACTTTCCAGGTGAGTCCTGTTTGTGCCGATACTGATGATAACATGCTCGTTTGTGTTTATGTGAACGTGTAAGTAGTAGGAAAAGACAAACAGGCACTTGTTTTGGTGAGAACTATATAAAAGGTCTAAAGATTATCTTTATAAACAGTCCACGGTTAAAGCAAAATGTTTATGATATTGTTTTTATCCGCACATAAAAAAATTTATGCTACAATGTTGGTGTGCTAGACATATGGGGATTATAATTTTTTAATTGTTTTTAATTGTCTCTAATTGTCTTTTAAGACACTTGTTCTAGTTTTATTTTGCTTTTGTTGCTGTTGTCGTTTTTCATTTGCCTTTAGAAGCCAAATGAAAGGTTTAAAAGGTTTGTGTAACAACAGCAAAGATCCTTCTGTCCTTAGCAGGTTTTAAAATTAGGTAAATACAACCTGAGATGAATAACAATCTAAGCAACATATTCAACTGTCCATTTTATTTTATTTTTTTTTTTTTTTACTTGAGCCAAAATGCAGCAGCAGCATGTGGAAAAACTAAGCATACAGCATGATTCAGCAGCTTGTAGAACCACCTTCAGCAGAAATAACTTGAAGTAATCATTTTTTTTGTCTGACTTTATCAGGCTGTCACATCATTGGATGAATTTTAGCCCACTTTTCTTTACAGAATTGCTTCATTTCATTGAGGTTTGTGGGCATTTATTTATGCACAGCACTCTTAAGGTCCCACATTAACCAGCACTTAGATTCTTTTGTTTTCCAGCCATTATGTTATAAATTTGCTGCTGTGTTTGGGATGCTTGCATTATAATTACAGCTTTTTTGTATGATTGTCCCAGTTAAGTGTTTCAGATCAAACAAATGAAGATATTAGACAAAGATAACATAAGTAAACACAAAGTCCAGTCTCTAAGGGAAATCTTTTCCTCCTTGGCATTGTGTTGTTAACACACATCTGAGTGCTCCAGAGAAGACCCAACAAAATCTGTGCTTTAATTGAGGTGTGCAGACTCAGTCACGGGGTGAGCTCGGTTCTGCTAGAGGTTTGTCTTTGTTAAATGGGAGTTTTTCTTTCCCACTGTGGTCAAGTGCTTGCTCATAGAGGGTTGTCTAATTTATTAGGGGTTTCTCTGCATTATTGTAGCATCTCTAGCTTAGCGCCTTAGGTGACTGTTTGTGTAATTTTGTGCTATGTAAATAAAATGTAACTGAAATGAATTCCTCTGGAAACAGTAAGGGTATACTTAATATTTTTTCCATACTGTTTTCTGCATTTTGGTTTAGTTTTTGTTAAATAAATAATAACATGCCGTAACATGTCATGTATTATTGTTAATATGAGGTTGTATTTAAATAATTGATTGTGGCTATGTAAACTAGTTGTTTGTTGTCTATGATGTGTTCACAGGTGCAGCTCCAGAGCCTTATGTCACAATACTTAAAGAAAAGGGGCTGCTGCAGTGTAAGGTTCCAGGTGCTTCTCCTAAACCCACAGTTGAGTGGAGGGACAGTGACAACAAAACACTTCCTACTAAGACTGTGCAGGATGAAGAACAACAAGGTCGCTTCCACGTCATGGTCCAGACTACTGTAACTGAGCCTGGCTGTTATCACTGTGTAGCCACACAGATGGAAAAGTGGCATCGGATTTCTTCAGAGATCTGTGTGCATGATG